AAAAGGAGCAGGACACAAATTGTATTTGCAACATTGTGAAAATATGCCGAGGGGAAACAACAGAAGGACTTTCCTAATTCAATTTTTTTTCTATTATCATGGTTACATTGTTATGGTTCTAAAGTCTATTCTAAGATAGTTCAAACCCTGTTTTTTGTGGCTATTTTCTCTCAAAATGGAGGTCAATCATTATCTTTAATTATACCAGGAGATTTGCATATATTATTTATTAGCTCCTTTGTCCTTGGGTAGAGACTAGTAAAGCGGAACCAAGGAATTTAAATTCTTTTGACTAGAGAAGAAAAAAAATGTAAATGCCCATCCTCACTTCAATTTATTTCACAAAATTGAAAGAGAAGGGGTAGTTTTAACTATTGGCAATGTAAAATTGCTATTCTAAAACTGCTTAAGTTGAAAACTTTTATTGAGCTATTTAACTTTATAAAAAGTGTATGAAATAATTTTTTTAGATTATCACAGACTGTTAAAGAAAAAGTATCTACTCTGGGCTTAAAACCCTGAAGGACAATTCTAGGGGGCAGGACGCAGAGAATAAACAGAAATGTTCATGGCCAAGTGAATGCGTGGTTTGCCGGAGGTTACAGTCAGGAAAGGGCAGAACTAGCACTGGATCCTTGGCATTCTCAGGACTCTTTGCCACTTTGATCCGCTGGGAAGCCGGATGGAAGATATGACATACATCCCGGACAGGAAAGAATTGGGGTTTGTAGTTTTGCGAACAGTTCAATGTGATCCAGGGGTAATGCGGCTGACCTAAAACAAATACGCTCTAGGCTTCATTAATGGAAATACGAAGTCCACCCATTGCCCACCACGACAGCCTAAATTCTCTTCCACTCTGAGATTCTCTAATTCTCTCAAACCCTTGAGTTTCTCCCTGAAAAACTTCCAGGATGGATTAACTTGAATGTTGAAACATAGAAAAAATATTAAAGTGGTATTGTAAAATTCTAAAGACAATCTATAGTATGAAACAAACTGGGTCTCAATTAGGTATATGACAAATTATAATAAATGTCAGAGAATCAGAAGCCGAAAAGCATGGCAAATTTATGCAAAAAGTTCAACAGGAAAACTTACAATTGAGGACTTTTCCTTAAATTAGAAGGGGAAACTATAACAAGACTTAGAGTATATTATGTTGAGAAACCTTAAACTATAGGAAAAAAAGTACAAACCATGTCCTTGTTTGTTTAAGGCATTTCTACCCATATCTTTGCAGATGGTCAAGGAATACTTCTTGATTGATTTGGCACCTTCCCTGACAGCCTCTCCAGAACATCTCTCATTATGAGGCTCTGGTTCTTTCTTTATTCACCCAGAACACTCTTTTAGACTAGATTTTGCCAGGTAGGCATCAGGAGAAAGGGCATTGGAATTTTATATACAGTCTATGGATTTATGTACATGAAAGCACTTGGCCCTTAACAGATGCTTAAAATTGTTTTTTTGTCAAGTGGTTTTGTTTAGGACCCCTTCATAGGTAGGAGTGGAAAACATCCATTATTAGGCATAAGTCTATGTTTATACAACCATTAGTATTTAAATAAATACAATAATTGTACTAGCAAATGTTCTTTAGGTTTCTAGCAATTTCCTAAAATCTACTATTCTAAATGGTTGAATGCAAACACAACCAAACAGTAGGTTAGCTTGTTCTCTCCTGACATCTAGTGTTCCTAATGCATTACTGCAAAATTTTTAACTACTATAGGAATCAAAATGCTGTATAGAATAAAAACTTTATTCATTTTAGAAAGAAATTTGTTTAAATGGAATAAAATCTCAAGCAAAATAACCAAGTTTCTGTTTCTAAGGAGTGAAAGGCTTTTTTCTCTTAATTCTTCTGAGAAATTTCTTAAATGGAGTATTTTCTTATAATTCTGGTAAGTAAAAACTGAAAGACCCAGCATGTATGTAGGGCTGGCCAATTATTGCAGTGCAGGGAAGGAAAATGAGAGATGGGTACTTACTGAGGTCCTACTATGTGTCAGAAGCTGGGCTTGGGCACTTTTGCACGAGTTGTCCCTGCTTTTAGAAGCCATAGGACCATCCTAACCACAGGGTCTTGGCCTACCGACACGGTTTTGAGGATTTCCCTACTCTGCAGTGTGGAAATGGAGACACGCCCAACATCACCTCACCAAATACCTTGTGCCAGGCCTCAAATTACATGAAACTGTGAGCCCTCAGCAGTATCTGGCTGAAAAGAAATGAGTGCAGGGCCTGCCCTTGAAGCCTGACATTCCCCTTTCATTTGGGATATTCCACACACGTAAAAGAATGAGAAGTGCTGGAGGTAAGAACTTTGGCCATTGTTCTCCAAAAACCCCTAAAAACTGAAATCAGCTATAGGCTGGAGAAGGGTACATATCAGGTGTCTCTTAAGAAAAACCCACACTTACTCACTTCTTCCTCCTTTCATTGTTTCCTTTTCCTTTTTCTAATCCACGCCTGTTCCCTCAGTCACACTTGGTCTTTCAGCTTCTGTCCCTCTCCTGCCGACAAAGAAGTATGTGACCCAGCCTTCCCCAGACTCCCACAGGTATCAGTCCTCCATGAGTGGGCACCCATCTCCTCCGAGAGCTTTTCAGACTGTTACTCAGCAACTTCAATAGGCACTTCTTTATTTCTTTAGGGACAGGTCTCACTCTGTACCGCAGGCTCGAGTGAAGTGGTGTCAACAGAGCTCACTGCAACCTTGAACTCCTGGGCTCATGCAATCATCTTGCCTCAGCCTCCCAACTAGCATGCACTATAAGGGCGTGCCTCCACACTTGGCTAATTTCTCTTATGTTTTGTAGAGACAGGGTTTCACTATGTTGCTCAGGCTGGTCTCAAATTCCTGGGCTCAAGCAATCCTCCCACCTTGGCCTCCCAAAGTGCTAGGATTACATGCATGAACCACCTCGCCAGGCTCAACAGCACTTCTAATCAACGTCAGCTCTTGCCCCCATTGATGTAGTGACATCAGGCTTGACAAGGGACAGACACTCTTTGCCTGAATGGGACTGCTCTTCTCCCTTGCCCTCAAGCCCTTGCCTGTCCTTCCCGCTGGTGGTGGCATGTGGAAGGCAGGGCTGTGGTCAACTTCGAAAGATTCCATTCTTGGAATAAAGCGATTCCAGCATAAAGGCTTCGAAAAATACATAGAAAAATGGTAAACCGAACATCAGCAGAAAAGAAGTGATTGTTCACATTTTCCTGCATTTGTGGTCATCATCAGTGAAGCACAGAAAGAACCTTTGGAAGCCAGTATTCACGGGCAGCAGGCTGTATGATGCATCGTGAATAATGGGAGAGTCGGAATGAAGCGTGTCTAGGCATCTGCAGAGACAAGCACAACTATATGGTTTCAATACAAACAGGCTGGGAAGAGCTCTGGCATCATGAGCAGTAATAGTGTTGCTACATTTTTTTAGTGGTGGGAGACATGAACTTGGCCAGGAATGGCACATTCGACAATAAAACACTCAACAAAGAATCTTCACATTCATGTACAGAAACTAAATCTGCCACATTTCTATTAAAATTCTTCCCTGGTTGACCAAATTTGTTAATCCCTTTCAATTTCTATGTTCCATTTGTCCTGACTGCCTAAATATTATGACTTATCTCAGTATCTTCAGATTACTGTTATCTTTGTGTGTGCAAAATCACTCATAATCCCCTCCGACATCTTTCCCAATCACTATTTCCCATGTTTCCACTTCTCTAGTCTGAAAGACTGCAGAGAACAGATGCACAAACACCATTTATCAGATAAAGCTCAACAAATTCTCTCTCTCTTCCAACAACTTGGTTGTCCTCAAGGAGTTCCTAAATTTCATACTTTTGACGGTTTATATGGGTTGGTGCAGAGTAGAGGAGGGTAACACAGCTTTAAAAATACATGAAAATGTACCAAAATAAATGTATGACAGCTTTTTATTTTCCACAGGAAAAAAAGTTCATTTATAAATGGTTATAATTATTGAGGTCTGCTGTGCCAGACATTATGAAATACATAAAATTCAAGACACAGACTCTGCTTTCAGGATGTGTGCACTTTAACTGTGGAGCTAAAACAGAGCAGAAAAGGAGACACACACACACACACACCCATACCCACATATACATAATACTCCTGAGACCCAAAGGAGGGAGACAGCACAGTAAACTAGAGGTAGGATTTAAAAAGTCTTCAGCAAGGAGGATAGGGTTGGTGGGGAGAGGGTAATATTTATTTCCAAAATCAATAAGTTAGAAAAAATATTTGTACTTTCAATAACTTTATTTTTCTAATGTTCAGATACAAGGTTTTTCCATGAAAAACACTATATTATTTACCTATCTCACTGTTTAATTATCAAATGTGATATAAATAGTCACAAACTCAATGAAGAATCAAAGCCAGTCACATCATAGAAAAAGAATCCCTATGTCTTTCTAATATTGCCATGGGTAGCAAGTTATTGTTAACAGTTCAATCACGAAATTATTCAACATTGCTCTTTAACAAATCCAAGACTTTCTTTCAATCAAATATATAACATTGCTGAAACGAAGAAATATTTCCAGTAAAAACTGGATGGAACTGATAAATCAGTGCTTTCTGCTCTTCAGATGCAGATGGAAAATGATGATTGTTTTTCCGAGCTACAAGAAAAGGAAAGTGTTAATTTTTAAAAAGATTGGATGACAAAATTTTCCAAAGACTACTTTATAATATTTCTTCTTCCTGCAATCAACATTATGTGGGAAAATACCAACAGGAGGAGAAATGCTTTACAAATTTCCCCCAAATAAGACAGCATCTGATCTACTGACGCAGCAGCTATGCTCTACTTGCCCCGTACCACACCCACCGTGGTGCTCGCTCCCCAAGTCACCCAAACACGAAGCGGCTATGTGTGTACAGCACTAAATATGGAGCCTGGGGATGGAAATACAAGAAGGAAAAGGTCCTAGCACTCAAGAAGTTAGCCTAGTAACCACACAGAATCGTATGACATAGTGTTTTCATAGTGTATCCTTACTGAGATGCGAAAAGAGTAGAAGGATGGAGAAACGGGTGAAGCTAAGGCGGATGGAAAAGCATGTTCACAGATAAGGCAGAAGGATGAAAAACAAGGAGGCACGGTGAGAAGGTCGGCATAGCCAAAACTGGCATGCAAGGGGCTGAGAGCTCAGACTTCTTCCTAAAGGCAAAATAAAGTAAACAGGCTCTTACGGCATTTTTAGAAAGGAGGACATTGGAAGATAAAGACTAAATGGACTGCCATGTGATCAACACTGCAGCTAACTTGGCTATGCCCACTGCTGTTGGACTGGTGCTGCACATGGGAAAATTTATTTTTTTAATGTGGAGTTTTTGTCATGAAACCATCTACTCAACTGTGCATAATTCTAAACCGGAGTGAATTCAGTAGGAAGTACTTGACTTCCCAACTAGAGCAGGAAGTTGATAAAAACTTAGGGCAAGCTTGGAGATGGGATGAAAACAGGCTCACCGAAGTTGTCAAATGGCCACGCCTCACCACAGTCCTCACTTAACGTCATGGAGAGGTTCTTGGAAACTGCGACTTCAAGCAAAACGACAGCAGGTCCTTGAATAACATCATGTCCTTCAACGTCATTGGGTTCATTATACGTTGTTTAAGCTTAAAGTCACAGTTTCTAAGAACCTATCAACCACATTAAGTGAGAACTTACTGTACCCATACCGCTTAACTAAAAAATAAGCAACTACAACTAAATTCTCCATTTCACCCACAAACATAATAACAAAGCCTGAAAATATCTGTGTTTTCATAACCAAAAAGCAGGCAAAGCTTATTAACTACAGACAGGCAGCCTTAAAATCACAGACTAGTGGTTATTATATCATTATCTTTGAAGAATAACATCTAATTCTCAGAGAATGTTACAGTTAAAACATTATTCCTAAAAAAGAAGAGTAATGGAGGAGAATCTAAATGAAAAGTATCTAAGAAAGAAAGAAAGAAAAAGAACTCAACGTTCTTTGTGCCGTTCATTCTGCCCACTCTATCATGTACGATACTGGTATTGAAATAATCGTCCTGGCTTTACCTGAATATCAAATATGTCAATTTCAGGGCTTGCACATTGTTTAATATTTTCTTTTAAAGTTAAACCTACAGAACTTATAGAACATTGATAGAGCAAAAGAGCAGACAAAAGTTCAGATGAGGACAATCTCTTACAAAACTACACTGGAGTGACAAAATTATGCACCCCACATTACCTTCATTAACAAAGAACTCTGCTAAGTAAAATGCAGTTTTCACAGCATTAGGTGCATGGGAAATGCCTTTTATTCTCTTCCACTCATAAGGTGCTTTCTCTGGATGCCACTGGACACCATACACTGGATACTTATATCCTGTATGAAGAACATAAACTAGTAAGCATTAAGAATGATAATGAAATTGTTTTATATCCTATGTAATGCATTATTTTATAACTCACTATATTGGACAAAGTAAAATCGTACATACTCTCTCAGACACAAAATAACTTCTATTCATGGTCAATGTGAAAACTCCCAATAATGTATTTTACTGATTCGCAAGCTTTTACAGTTTGTAATATGATTCACTTTTCTAGATAACTACAGTAAAGTAAAATAGCTGAGCCGAGGAATCTATCCCAGTTCAACAGTCAAGCGTACATCAGTGACACCAGTATTTTCCATGATGGGTCTCTTTCTTCTCCCTTTCATGCCATTCTTTCATGCCCTCCCATGACGATGACTTACTATTCATATGACAATGAACTATGGCAGCAATTCTGGTGTCCTTTTACGTAAGCCAATTTTCCCCAGCCTAAACTGTGTGTCTGTGTGTCAAACTGCTGACTTCACGTTGTCAATTTTTTTAATAGACACTGTCCCTAAGGAATGGTATCAATTTTTAAAATGTTCTCAAAACTTTAAAACTTGGTATTAAAGATTCTTGGTAACATTCAATTGGTATTAGAACTCTTAATGATAAAATGATATGATCCCTGGGATTTGCCTCAAAAAACAATCCAGTGTGGGGAGAAAGCAGATATAAAACAAGAAGGGCCACATATACGTTGACAATTATTAAAGCTGATACATAGGTACCCAGGGTTCCTTGTATTACTGTTTTGTTTTTACATAAGCTTGAAAACTTCCACAATTTCTCAAAAACATAAATATGTATAATATTTAGCTCCTGAAAATGTACATACTCATTCTTTTTCATATGTGCCTTTCCTCATTTTAATAAAACAATAGTCTCCCCTCTATCATCTTTTGCTTTGGAATTATAACCATGACTACTATCAGAAAGCACTTGGAGAAGTGAAGAGAAAGAAGTGATATCTAGGGGAAAGAGCACTGTCCCCTCACATCCCACTAGGCTCTTCCACTGGAGAGCAGGCCACGGGAAAAGGAACATTTTATCCCAGCCTTGTAGGGGTTCCCAAGAGGAAAAACCTACCACAAGCAGCTCTAGGGTCTCTGCTTGTCCCTCCCCACTGCCTCTCCCCGCAGCCCTCTTGTGATCTTGCCCTTTCTTTCTCTCAGGTCTAGGACTACGTGTGAAGCTACCAGCAAGAGACCCACAGGCTGGGTGACTAGGAAATTTGCTGCCACACACAGTTAACTGAAAGGCAGATCTTCTAGTATGTTTCTTCAAGATGTGAAAAGCATTTTTGAGAATAAAAAAATGCCTTAAGTGATAAATCATAATGAAGATTTATCTGATAGATTATAGAGAGGGAGAAAGGAAGATACATATAGATAAATATAAGGGGTCCTTGAAAAGTTCATAGAAAATGAGTATTGGGAAAAAACTATGCATGGATTTCAAAATGTTTTATACCGAAATAAACTCATACTAACTTGTTATAACATGTCTGAACAGGATCTAGTTTGAGGTACTAAGAAGAATAAGACATTAGTTTGAAAGGAGCCCCTATCAGGGCAACATGAATTCTGCTAAAAGCGAAGCAAGGAAAAAAAGCAAAAAAAGTGAAGCTTGGGTGGAAGAATAGCGAAATCAATTCTTTTCAAGAAGTTGATGGGGACAATGCCACAAAGAAGTCAGCAGTTTACAAATGGATAATTCGTTTTAAGAATAAATGAGATGATGTTGAAGATGAACCTCGCAGCAGCAGACAATTCACATCAATTTTTGAGGGAAAAATTCATTTTGTCCATGAGGCAATACTACAGACATCTCAGTTGGTTCAGCTTACACACTTCTGACTGAAAAATTAAAGTTGAGCGAACTTTCCACTTGATAGGTACCAAAACCATTGTGTCCAGACCAACTACAGGCAAGAGCAGAGCTTTCAATGGAAATTTTGAGCAAATGGGACCTAGACCCTGAAGCATTTCTTCAAAGAAGTTTAACAAGGGATGAAATGTGGCTTTACCAGTACGATTCTGAAGGTAAAGCACAATCAAAGCAGTGGCTACCAAGGATGTGGCAGTGGTCTAAGTCAAAGCAAAAGCAGGCCGGCCAAGAGCAAAGGTCATGGCAACAGTGCTCAGGGATGCTCAAGGCATCTTGCTTGCTGACTTTCTGAGGGCCAATAGCATCTGCTTATCGTGAGAGTGTTTTGAGAAAGTTAGCCAAGCTTTAGCAGAACAACACCCAGGAAAGTGCAGAGAGTCCAACAATGCCCAACAATGCTCCCGTTCATTCCTCTCACCAAACAAGGGCAATATTAAAAGAGTTCAATGGGAAATCATTAGGCATCCACCTTACAGTCCTGATTTGGCTCCTCTGACTTCTTTTTGTTTACTAATCTTAAAAAAATCTTTAAAGGACACCCATTTTTCTTCAGTTAATGTTAAAAATGACTGCATCGACAAGGTAAATTCCCAGGACCCTCAGTTCTTTAAGGATGGACTAAATAGCTGGTATCATTGCTTACAAAAGTGTCTTGACCTTGATAGAGATTACGCTGAGAAATAAAGTTTATTTTGTTAATCTTTTAATTCCATTTTCCATGAACTTTTTGAAATCCCCTCATACAGATACACTGACAATCGGAAACAAGTAAGATTTACTCTTCTTTAGTAAACTGCATTACTAAAAGATCAATGCAGGTTCCTGAAAACTGTAGGAATCATGCCCTGCCTACCAACTTAGAACAAAAGTATCAAGAGTAGAAAGAAAATATGCAAATATAGAGCCTCTCAAGTGTTTCTATCTTGGAGGTGTGAGAAAATTTTTAGGTGTTGAAATTTTCAAATGAGCCTGATATAATATAGCCATGAGTAGAACCAATATGGAACTTGATTCCCTACTTTCAAACCCAATACTCTATCCTTTAAATAATTAGGCATTCATTCAACATCTATCAGCTTTATACAAAGCCCTGGAAACACATAGGAGAATAAAACACAGTTCCAGGTCTCAACAAGCTCGTAGTCTAGAGGGAAAGACAGAACGTGAACAAATACGGCAATAAGAAACATTCCCACGTAGCACAAAGAGCACTAAAGACATGGAGAGAAGGAACAACGGTAGTGAAGGCCTCCAGGAGATGGCAACTGAGCTGAGTCTTTCAAGACAGCTAAGAATCAATCAGGAGAAGAGATTGGAGGGGAAGAACAACTTTTCAGAGAAGAGGAAAGGACAAGAGAAGAAGCACGGAGGTGAGAAATACAGCTCTGTGGAGGGCTGTGTGCACAAGAGGTCACTCGGGGTGGCAGGCTGGAGGTGAAGACAGGGAGAGGGTGAGGAGATGATCCGGGAAATCTAGACTTCATCCTCCAATGCTAAAGAGCCACTGAGGAGTTCTGTTCAAGCAATATGACAGGACCGGCACTCTAGGGGGATCACCAGGGCTGGCTGGAAGACAGACTTGTGGGAAGGTTAGGAGACTCCTGAAGCAATCTCAGTGGCAGTAGTTACTGCTGACGTAGGACAGGCGCAGGCTAGATAGAGACGAGGAAACATTCAAGAAGGATTTGGGAGGCAGAAATTGGCATGAATTTCTTGGATGTGAAGAGTGGAGGTGGAAGGTCATGGACAACTCCCAGGCTTCTGACTTTGGATGCTTTGGTGAATGTGATGCTACCCACTGAAATAAGAAAGACAGGCGGGGAAAGAGGGTTGGAGAGAAGATGAAAAGCTCAGATGAAAAGCTCACTTCAGATTGTGTTGCATAACCTGCCCCAGAATTCCCTGGATATTGTTTCTAAATCTTTAAGGTCTGACCTCCTCAGAAGCAAGCCCACATTATGGCCGCCCTTTGAATGACATGTACTACTTCCACTTTATTCTAGCTTATTCCACCCAGTGCCCTGGCCTCTCAGGTGGCACTAACCAGCCTCACCAATTCAAAGACAGGGCAAGGAGGCCATTTGACACACACAACAGACGGAGCCCCCTCACTCTCTGGGCTCCATTTCTACTTCCAACTTCTCCTGGCACCTCTCCATCTGCCCCATCCCATCAAGCCTTGTTCCGCAAGAGGTCCCATCCAAGTTTACAGTTATCTAGTTTTTACCTCCTGGGAAAGCAGGAGACAATGTCTGTAAAATGACATCTCCTCTCAAGGCTTCTGGCCAATCCATCACTTTGTATTGCCCCGCAGAACCTGTACAGCTTGCCTAGTTAATGGTGTGTGACCACCTATACTATCAGTACTGGGACACTTTCTACTCTTTCTGGAGTTTGCTACTTACACAGATGAGTCAGAAATACTCTAAGACAGATATACCCAAAGACATATCAAAGACTAGGAGGCATCTACTCAGAAAAACATACCCATACAACAAAGACAAGCATATACTCAATGGAGAAAAGAAAATACCCATATATGTCAACAGAGTTCAATTCATACCATGTCCACCAGTCATCCTAAACATTCAGGTTATTCTACATCACTATAAGCTATTGGGGTATAGCATACTTACCCAAATTAGAGTTTACTAACATTTGTCGCAGCTTACAGGTGACATTCCAGTCTGAAAAATGTTAATGTCCTAAACTACATTACCTTTACGGAAAGATAAAACAGCTACCATGGTAACTCCACAAGTTATCACCACCTACTAGAATTTTCTCATTTAATCTTTTTCACCAGGACTCAGGGACCGGGAGGAGTCAATTGGAGCTAAAAGCCCACTGACCTGGTTGCCAACTCACATGATGACCAAATTGTGCATTCTACTTTCCCTAACTTCTTCTCACTACTATTATTTACTTGGCAACATTTCTCTCTCCATCTACTTTTTCAGTTTCTGAAATTGTAAAATATAACTTATTTGGAAAAATGCACAAAACATACACACACAGTTTAAGAAACAAAACAAGTACCTGATTTCCTATCACCCAGACTAAGAACTAAAACAGTGTCAGTGTCCCTCCCAAACCATGTACACCTCCCCTCGGCCCAGTAAGAATGACTTTCGTAATTATTCATAGCCCCATGTTTTCCTCAGAATTACCACCCAACAATATGTTATTTTTGCCAAGGTTTAAACATCATATAAATGAAAACATATGGTATATATTCCCTTGTGACTTGTCGCTCTAACTCAAAATTGGTTTCATGATTCACTCAGTGATGCATGCAGATGTATGTGCTCATTGATTTTAACAGCTGTGTAGTAAATATTATTTATCTTTGGCATTGTCTGATG